GATTCCATTTTAGCAAAATGTACAAATCTAGAATAAAGTATTTTTCTACTGGAACACACTTTTAGTTACTAGAAGAGAAGGTTTTATGGACATCTTGAACTTAAGATGTGCTAAGATAAAAATCATCAAGAGAAGTAAACACTTTTAAATATCTAGTTTTATCCATATAGAAGATAAAAGAAAAGAGAACATTTGGTTTTATATAACTCTCTCTCTTTCCTTTGTTCTCACACATAGTCTCCAACATGAACAATGCATTTTGTTGGCTCACAGAAAAATGGCTGTGTACTTTGAAGTACTTCTTGCATTAAATATCAGAATCATTATTAAAATTCAAAAGGCAGAAGGATTTTGGCAGAGTTCCAGAGTCATTTCATATCCACACATTTCAAATAGTGCTGTGGTCCCTTTCACAGCGTCAGGAGCTCAGCAGTGAGAATGATTGTTCCAATGCTCACCAAGATGCAATACATCAAACAAAGAAGAAAATACCAGGATTTTGTATTCTCTGCCTAAGACTGTTACACAATGGATTTGTAGTTCTAGATAGCTGTCATAAAACTGACTCTAATGCTACAGAGTAAAACTTATTAAAGTCCAAATATTTCTTTATTTTATTTATATTCACTCTGTCACATATGTCTAAATGCCACAAACTTGAAAGGTTATGAATGTGAGCAATACAAATCATACCCTGTACTAAGGGAGACAAGTCTGAGAGGAAAAAAAAAGCAATACACTAATCCTCATTTCAAAGAATAAAACAGAAATCATGTATCAAGCTGGTTCCTGAAATGAAATGATTTTTCCCATTCATCTCATCTAGTCTGAAGTTGCATGAACTACAAATTATTTAATCTATGTCTCAGTTTTATCATCTCTCCAACCTGCAACATTACAATATAGTGCCAAATAATGATCCTGTTGGCACACAATAAATACTGAGTAAATCCTAGCTGTTATTACAATTACTATATGAATACCATTCATGTTATGACTATAGCATGCTCTTTGAAAATAGGAAAACCACTGTTCCTTTTAACATTTATGATTGTGCTACTAGGATTTTTTAGTACCTGAATATATATGAAAATGGGATTTACTAAAATTATGAGACTATCACATCACGTACTTTATGAGGAACTGTTCGAAGTAGGAAGATACTACCGGGTTAAGTCTATAGTTATTGGTAGTGTTTTCCAGGGAGGTAGGAAGAAAGTTACAGAAGTATATTGAAGTCTTTGGTGAAAATAGGATCACCCACGTTAGGAATAATGAACATCCAGTATAGACTCTATGAATCTAGGTGACCAGGACTCATTTGTCTCGGTAATACCCCGAAGGCTAAACATGACTTAATGTCAGAAAAAGAATGAAAGGAATTTTGTATGACAAGAGCTGAAAAAAAAGATTGACCTATAATTTATTGACTTATTCTTGTTTGAGTATGGTCTCAGATGCTGTGCAAAGATATGGTCACACCCTAAAGTGACTTGGGAGACGCAGTCATAGGAATAGACAAAGTGCACAAACAGTGATAGCAGACTCACGTGTGAGAAACAGGGAGATCTGGAGACGGGTGAGCTCTGTGGCTGTGAGAGAAGAGCTTTACAGAGTGTTAGAACTGGTGACGACACCTCTCAAAAAGGCTGCATGTGACAGACATTGAAGAATTATTTTCATCTTGTCACTTTCTGCCATGCTGAGTTACTCCATATTTGCTAAACATGAATGACAACAGAAAAGCTCCTTCCAACACTTCAAAGGGAACTTTTTCACCCAGCACTGGAACGTGGGACAAGAAGTGAGAGGCACAGCTGCGGACACTCTGTTAGTGGATTCGGAGGACAGAGCCACAAGTACGAGGAGGGAAGGTGGCAGGCTGATTTCCGGAGAGAGAACAGAGGAAGAGAGGAAGCTCAGGCTATTTGCTAAGTTTGTTCACTGCCCTCCCTCTCAGCCTCGCTCCCACCTTCTAACATCTCTTTTTCCATCCTTTCCAAGAACATCCATCCAGTTCCCTGGAGCCCTGAAGAAAGCGAGCTTCTGGCTTGGAAAGAGTCTGCTCAGAAATTACTGCCAGGGCCACCTTCCTTTTGACAATACAGCTAACTTTAGAGTAAAAATCAGGAAGAATAAAAAATACAGTCCAGGGACTGTCTTTTCAGTGACAGAAGTAAGGATGGATGTAGGTTGTTGGGATCAGATGCTGCCTCTTAACATTGTCCAAATCATCCTATATATGGAGCTGTAGACCATGACTTCTAAGAGGTTGACTTGATCAAAGAGCACAAAAACCTGGCAAACAGGAAATTGATTATTATCTACAGTAAGGATTGCTCTGAACTGTAATCCAGTTTTCTGGAGGGATGGGAGAGGGGTGGAGGAGTGCTATTCTTGGGGAACTATGGTTAAGATACTGAGTCTGGTTCCCAGGAACACACCCAAGTATAGTGGGCTTTGATCTTCATTTTGAGGTAACATGTTTTTTGGCAGAGTCCAACTGACTGAGTCTGGGGAATTTTAAGAAACCATAAAAATGACCAAGTTTCTTTGAATGCACATTCTTGCTCTTCATGAGTTTAAATAGCTATATTGTGCTGTGCTTCCTTTTTTTTTTTTTTTTTAAACATCACCTCTTTAGAGACCAGATTCTTAAGGCAACCCCAATTAAAAAATTATGTATTAATATCTGCTTATGTGAAAGGCAGAGTGATGGGGGTGGGGGAGATAGAGATATCTTTCATCTGCTGGTTTACTTCCCTAATTCACACAATAGCAGAGGCTGGGCCAAGCTGAACCCAGGAGTCAGGAACTCCATCCAAATCTCCTATGTGGAGGTGGCAGGGACTCATTACATAAGCCATCATCAGATGTCTCCCAGGCACATAAGCAGAAAGCTGGATAAGAAGTGAGGTGGAAGGGCCAGTGCTGTGGTGTAATAGGTAAAGTGGACACCTGGGATGCCGGAATCCCATATGGGTGCCAGTTCAATTCCCAGTTGCCCCACTTCCAATCAAGCTCCCTGCTAATGGCCTGGGAAAGCAGTGGAAGATGGCCCAAGTTCTTGGGTCCCTAGACAGATGTGGAAGAACAGACCTGAAAGAAGCTCCTGGCTCCTGGCTTCAGTCTGGCTCAGCCCCGGCCATTGTGGCCATTTGGGGAACGAACCAGTAGATGAAAGTTCTCTCTGTCTTTTCCTCTCTCTGTAGCTCTGCCTTTCAAATAATCAAAAATTGGAAGAAAAAAAAAAAGCTGAGGTTGAGGCACAACTCTATCCCAGGCACTCTGATATGAGATACAGGCACCCCAAGCGGTGCCTTGAATGACTGTGCCACAATGCCTACCTCTCCTACTTTTCATTTTATATTTCCCCATTTTTCTTTTATAAGTCCACTTAAAATATAGCAAATAGGGGCTCAATCTGCTGAATGATTCTGTAACAGCAAAGGCTATTTTTGTTTTACTAGTATCGGGCTCATTCCTCTCTGCCAAAATACAAAGAGCCTCTTAAACACTTCGGCTCTGTTGTGGGATTGGTGGCAGAAAGTGGCATCAGAAGTGGAAATATGGAAATAATGGACCTCATTTGGAGTAACAGGAGTTTACCATGATAAGAAACAGAGTTGAACATTCATTTTATTCTTGAGTTTCCCTACTGATACTCACTTCCAAGTTACATTTCCAGAGAGCTGTACTTCCTGATGGCTTATATTTCACATTTAAAATTCAAAAAGCCAGCAGATAGATACTTCAGGTATCAGTAGAACTGCCTATAATTACTTGCTACATCAAAGAAAAGGAGAAGAAATATCTGCAGACTAGGGTTTGTACGTGGATGTGTTAATAAATCCACAACAATGAGGTTATTGAGAGTACACATCAAATGCCTTCTGGACTACAAGAGCAGGGACCAAATGAACATTTCTTCTGAACATTTGCATGTATTGCTTGCTACCCTGGGAAAATCCTTAAATTTAGCATTCATCAATCTTAAAATGATTCAACTGTATCAGCAGTAGCTATTCAGAGAATATAACTATTTCTCAAAATGATCTAACCAATATTTCTAAACAAAAGTGAAAAATCTTACTCTATTAGTTTAAGTCCCATACATTTCACAGAACAGTAACTTCCTCATTGTTAATCTGATCTGTTTCTGTATTTAGGAATTAGGTGAAAATTATTCCTTTGATTTGATTTCTTATGAATGCTCTAGCAATACTCCAGGGTTTGGTAGAAAATTATGTTTCGCTTTTGACATTTTCCATTGTTAAGCTGATAACAAATAAGTTCCCTGCAATCATTAGTGGTAAGTCTGAAAGCAGAGACACTCTTGTAAAGGGGCCCAGATGGAAATGCTGTTACAGAAATTCCACAGCCTGATTCCATTGTGCTGCCTGCCATGTGGAGCCACAGCTTCTCAACCTGCCCCACCACCCAGCTGCTGTAGCAATTGGGCCAGAGGAGTATATCTAGTTCTGAGGTTCACATAAAGCAAGGCATCTACTAAGCTAGAAGGCTCAATTTCAAGTTGCAAATTTCTCAAAATATAAACACCATGGACACAATAATGTATACTGGTAAAACCAAGCAGGAACAAGTCCATTGCCAATCTAGGTTGCAAAGTGACAGCTAGTAACTGCTGTTGAGCAGCATAATGGCATTAACCTGTGGGGATGGTGGGCACTGTGTTTGGGTCCAGGTTTTTTGCCATCAGGTAGCACTCACAAGTGTCCATGTCTTCTAGAAAACATGAGATGAGTTAAATGTCAGCACATAAAAGACAACTGTCCTTGAATCCCTATAGCACTATTTTATTCTCTAGTTTCTTTTTCTACAGAATTAAAAATTTGTAATTAATATAGAGATTTCAGTGACAAGAGCATCTCATGAACAAAAAGAGATAGTTGCTCTAGAAAATTGAGAAAAAGACCAAGAAGTACAAGAGGAAATGGAAATCGGGTAGGCAGAGAGTAACAATATTCAATGGAGCTTACGGATCAAAAGCTGCAAGCAGGAAGTTAAGCAGGAGACTGATGGACTGCTCCACGTGGATTTGGTGCGTGGTTGGCATCCGTTTGTTGAGCTGGTAGAAAATGGTGGACAGCACTGCCTCCAAGCGGGCCACATTGAGTTCTGTGTTTGGGTCCAGGTTGTTCAAAGCATTTTCCCGCAGTGCTTCTATGACATTCCAAATGTCCACCAGGTGCACTGCAATTAAAGCAGAGTTGACTTGTAAGTGCATAGAAAGGCAAATGTGTTACTTTATATGTGTGTCTGTCTGGCTTTTCTACACTCTTCATTTGTGTTCATCTGTTTTGGGATTTGATGTAGGTATACACACACGTGCATAATCTCTAGGGCTTGATACACAGTATATAATAGCAGGCAAATGATTTACTGAATACAGCAGTGGATAGTTATTTCTAATCTTCACAATGGCCCTTGAAATACAGCCAACATTCATGCTGTATATGGCAAGACTGAGGATCAGGGAAATTAACTGACAAATGCAAAGATACAAGGCCAGTGAATGGCAAAACTGGCATTCAAATCCAAGTTTATCTGGCCTAAAAGCATTTCTGCACTGCACATACTGATTCTTCAAAAAGAAGAGATCAACGTTTAAATTCTAGTGTAAAAAAGCATTTGTCCATGTAAAATATTTTCATTTACTCTTCTATTTTTTAGTAGCATTGAGCTTGAAGTAAGAAAATACAAAAGGGAAGTGAAGGTAAGAACGAATATGAAGAAAAAAGGAAAAGTTATCTACACAGTGTCGCAGCAGAGCTTAGTCAGGGATCATTTAAGTACCTTGGTCAAGAACAAGCAGCTTCTTGACTTTGTTATTGACGACTTGAGTCCTAGTTACTTTCACTAGAATCCTCACGAAGGCCCTTTCTATTTTCTTCCCTGTTTACCCTGAGGTTCCAATGACACCTCGGAAACCATGACCACAACCAGATAAAGAACGGTTTCTTCACTCAGAAGTTTCCTCATATTCCGTTCTGTAATCCATCCCTAGTCCCAGTCCCAGGCAGCCACTGACCTGCTTTCTGTCACAATTTTCTAGAGTTCTAGTACTAACCAGGCCCGACCCTGCTTAGCTTCCGAGATCAGATGAGATCAGGTGCGTTCAGGGTGGTGTGGCCGTAGACTCTAGAATTCTAGATAACTGGCATCAAACACTTTGCACTTGTTTTGGGGAGAGGGGTCTGAATACACCTAGTGTGGACTTAGTAACTTTAGGTAGTGTTTACTTAGTTTGAGATTAATGTATGTTGTTACATGTATTAATCTGTTCCTTTTTATTGGTGAGTAGTATTCCATTATATGGCTATATCACAATTTGGGTATCAAATCACCTGTTGATGGATATTTGTCCAGTTTTTAGTTAAGAATAAAGTTACTATAAACAATAGTGTGCAAGTCTTTGTATAATCATATGTTTCCATTTCTCTAGGTAAATACTTACAAATGAAGAGGCTTGCTTGGCTGGTAGGCATTTTAACTAGAGAGAGAATACACACTCCTGTCTGCTGGTTCACTCTCCAAATGCTCACAACCCTAGGCCTCCAGGCCAGGGCAAACACAGGAGTGTAGAATGCCAACAAGGTTTCTCACATGTGGGTCATGGATCCGACTACTTCTGCCATCACTTGCTGCCTCCCAAGGTCTGCACTGGCAGGAAGCTAGAATTTGAGTGGAGCCAGGACTCAAACCCAGGTCCTCTGACAGGGTGTCCAGGCATCCTAACTGGCAACTTAACTGCTAGGCGAAATGTCCGTCTCATGTGTAATTTTTAAAATAAACTTCTGAACTGTTTCCCAAAGTAGTTGTACCACCTACAGTCCTATCAGGGGTGTATTCCTATCAGGGGTATATGAGAGTTCTAGTTCCTCCACATCTTCATAAAGCTTAAGGCTCACTTTTCAGCACACTTTTGCATTTCCAAGTAAATATTTTCTCTTTTCATTTTGAAATACATATTCTTCTAGGTAAGAGCTTTAATGATTCAAACATTGTTATTCACAGTGTCAAAAATTAGTGTACTATAGAAGTATGAAATTATATGTCAAAGGACTATTTCTCCTGTTGGCAACAGCATACATCCTGTGCACTTCAGTGTGGTTAGCATGTCACATCTACCAAATGACAGGCCCACGAGGACTCTGGTGAACATGCTCCTATCTCTGCATAATGGTCTCCTTTGCCTGAGAATTGTACAGGAGAGATGAAGAGTGCATCCGAGAGGAAGTGGGTGAAGCTGGGGTCCCTGTGACCAGAACTCAAAACTTTAGGGGAATGACGGCCCAGTATTTGGGCTACTTTCTGTCACAGTGCTTGTCAAAGCTCAGTTGCATGGCAGCCTCCATGGCCTGGATCTTGGCGGCGCTGTCTCCATACAAGAGCTTGATTTCGCCGACACAGACTGTACCACCACCTCGTCTTCGTCGCACGCTGTTCCGTCTTCTCTCGTGCCTGCCTGGATCCTAGCACTGCCCTGGGGAAACTGCCCAGAGCTCTTCAATGTGAGTAACTGCAGAGGGTGTCCTGCGAGGCCAGCTGATGGCCCCAGAAGGGCCGGGGGCGCCCAGCCTCGCGGTCATGAGAGTTTTGGGGAGGAGCTACCGGAAGGAAGGAGCATGGGAGGCCGAAGTAGGCCTCCACAGCCCTCCCCGGGGCCTTCCGGTGGCTCCACAACCAATCCGCTGCGGCCGTAGTTTGCCAGTACCTCGTCTATACCCGGTGAGAATCCCACCACCCAGCAGCTCCCGACATGGATGCCTTCACTGTCATGCCCGAAAATGAAAAAGTCCACGTAAGCACAGAAACTCACAGGGACACAGCTCGTAGGTCCCGGGCGGTGGCCAGGCAGGACCTGCTTTTGGGTGGGGAGAGAAGGGGCGATGGGGAGGGGTGGTTGTCTGGCAGATTAGAGCTCATTTCCGCTGCGTGTCACTGTCTGTCTGCACTAGGGAGAAGAAGGTGCTGTGCATGCTTTTTTGGCAGCAACTCCATGGGTTTTGTCTCCTACTTCTTTGCTCCCTTCTGACACCTGCCAGGCCAGTGCTGTGGCATCCCAGGTAAAGCTGCCTCCTGTTCTGGGTGCGGTTAGAGTCCCTGCTGCTCCACTTTCCAGCTTCTGCTGATGGCCTGGGAAAGCAGCGGAGGATGGAGCAAGTGCTGGGGCCCCTGCACCCACATGGGAAACCCTACAGAGCTCCTGGCTTCACTCTGGCCCAGCCTTGGCTGGTGCGACCATTTGGAGAGTAAAACAGCGGACGAAAGATCTCTCTGCCCCTTCATTTTCTCTCTCTCTAACTCAGCCTTTCAGATGAATAAAATAAATTAAAAAAAAAAAAAACAAAAATGAAAACACCTCAACATATCTGTTGAAGCCTACTACAGCTGCCTGCTATTTAACTATGTGACCACGTGTTTTCTTGTCTCCTTTACCTTTGTTTCTCTGACAGTGCTATATGACCTCTCACTTTTAGTAAATGGTAACTTTATCACCAGTTCCTTCCATTAATGCACAAATAGGTCAACCAACCAACCATGTCTTTGGTCAAGTTCTCTTCTCCCAGGTAGTTTAACTTTAGGATATCGACCCCCAGGACCCTGGAGAACCACAGCCATCTGGTAAAATTTCAAATTGGGCATAAAGGAAAACAAAACTCCCAAGTCCTTCCTTCCTAACTTTATATATGTTTTGAGACCTAAGGCATAAATGGATTATGCGAATCACCAAATATTGGTTATATAAAATCTTCACTGTAGCCTTCATTTCAAAGTTTGCTGTTATTTTTGTAACTTCTTAATATTTTGTGTCATGAGGGCAACAGACCTGTGCCCAACTTCAAGGATCACTGGACCTGGAGTCCAAAGACATAGGCCCCAAATCCGCCTCTTCAATGACAAGTGTATAATCTCCTGGCCTTTAAGATTTAGAGCCTCACTTTCCTCATCTATTAAATAGGGATGGTATTCCTTAAATGGCAAAAAATGCATTATATAAAAAGTAGTTGTGTGTGATACACTGTCGATAATGCATTGTATGAGAGTACTTCAAAAAGTTCATAGAAATGGATTTAAAGATTTATTTTGATGCATAAATTTTTTGAAATCCGTAATTATTTTTCATAATACACATTTTTGTAAACACTCTGAAGACCACTTGTATGCAGAAATTTCAACTTTCTTTGCACCAACTTTCTTTGTAAACTTAATTCCATGAACTTTCCAAAGCACCTTTATACAAATGCATGACAAGAATCATATCAACAGAAAATTTTTTAAATGCCAAAAATATTAAATAAGGAAAAAAAATCAAATAAGGAAATGATTTATATTTCTTAATGTTATTTATCTAATTTTCAATTTAGCAAGCAAGGTACTTTCATTCTGACCCCTAGTTTCTTCTCATCCACGTCTCACCCATCATACCTTATTGTCATCTCCATTTGCTCAGGATGTCTTTCAGGGTCCCCAGTCTCCAAGTTTTGTGCCCTTCCTCTGTGCCCCCTTAGCACCCTGCTCCTCCCCACGACAGCGATCCTCTCTGTGGGCCAGCTGGCTTTGTTTCTTTGTCTCATGTGCCACAGGAGGAGACTGCTTGAAGTGGCAATTGTTCCACTCCAGCGCCTATCACAGTCCCCCATATACCACTGGAACTTAACCTCTGTTGACTAAATGTGTGAATGACAAAGAGATGACTCAAAAGTGAAACAAGATTTTCTAAAGATGCATTTGATTTCTAAAGAGATGATAGGTGTAGTCATGAAAAATCACAAGAATTGGTTCAAATCCTCAGTGTGTCATCTTGAAGTCAAGTTACCCAACTTTTCTGAGCCTCCATCTCAGAAAAATTGACAGATAACAGCACTTACCCTCAGATGATTACAACGAAGATTAAATGAGGGAAGGCCTCTACAACATTTGAAATAGGGCATGCCACATAGGGAATAATAATTTTTATTATTAAGAATAAGGTATCTAGAAATGATACATAAGTTATTAAAAATAAAGTCCATAGTTTTGTTCTCACACATTAAGGTCTCATTATTAGGAAAAATAAGTTACTAACTATAAGTGATTTACATAAAATTGGTTTCCATAACTGTGTGTTACACTATGGTAGGTTCTGAGGACTTACTGGCAAGCAATACAGATGTGGTTCCTGCCTCAGAGAGCTGAACATCTGGAGG